AAAACAAACCAAGGACTTCTGCATTCAGTGCAAAATATTTGATTTGCATCAGATTTTTAGAAATATTGATGATTAAGAAAATATGTAAACATTTATTTTAAAATTATAGCCTGGCACTTCCAGGCAAGATGGCAACCAGGTAGGTAGCTCATGCTGCAAGCTCCATGGAGATTGGTGAGTGGGGAGATTTGGGGGCCAAGTAGGGGTTTGGAGGATGTTTGTTAGTTTTGTGCAGCAGTTCAGGGCGCTTCCCAGAACCAAGAGCTGACTCTCACCCCATCTCCTGGACCCACGGCAAACCCTTGAGGACTGGGCCTGCCACATGAACTGCACCAGCCACACAGTAAAAGCTCTTGCAACCACGGTTTGATACTCCAGACAGCACGAGGCCCTTCTACTGCCTGTTGGCAGATTCCTCCTCCAAGATAGGCACTTTCCTTCCTCCCTTTCCTTCCCTGCCCTGCCTGGCCTTCCTGGACTTCTAACAGATGTGGCTGGGCCCAATTTCCCAGCCACTCACCTACCCAGAGAGCCTCTAATCAGGAGAGGGGGACCTCTAACCTCACCCCTGGAACTGCATGCTCCCGCATCCGGGATAGCACTTTCCTTCAGACCATGGCCTGCACAACTGAAAACAGCCCCTATGGAGGCCTGAGAGTTGCTGGAGTGTGGCGCAGGCTGACCCATAGCCTGACGACTGAGAGGACCATCCAACCTGCCCCCCAAACAACAGATTCCCCATAGGCTATGGTGAGAGGAAAACCCCAGTAGGACAAAGGTGAACCACATCCCCTCAGGGCAGTTGGCTACAAGTAGCCTGCAGAAAGATTAGTACCAGCCTCCCAAAGGGAGAGACCAGGGCTCTCTGACTCCTGGGAAAATGGTTTCGAGTTCCTCCAAAATTACATGTAAACAGTATTCTCCTTAACAGCCTCAACAAGAAAATAGGGGAAACAAAATCCAATGTCAGAGGATGACCTGAACCTAACAGCAGTCATAGAAGAGGCAGACGTTGACCTGCCACAGAAAAAATATCTTCAGAATTCTGCTTAGAGTCATACAGGATACGAGGGAAGCAATACAGGAAAAGGACAAAATGATAGAGGAGATAAAGGCCATGCACCAAAGGGAAATACAAGAGCTAAGGGATGAGATAAAAGCAGTAGCAAATTTACAGACTTTTCCTACAGATTTGAGGAGGCAAAAAATCACCCAGTGACCTAGAGAATAACCAGGCAGACTTCAACAAACAGGAAAAGCAGTCAGATAAGATAATAAAAGAAGATGAAGAAAACCTGAGAGCCACGTCTGATGCTATGCATAGGAACAACATTAGAATAATTAGACTAGCAGAACAAGACACAACAAAGAAGTCAATGGCAAAAATAGTGAGGGAATACGTACTTAGAGGAAAACTTCCCCAGCTAATGAATGAAGACCAGGCAACCATTCAGGAG